TATTTTCTTCATTATAGCTATTTGTTTTCAGGTACTGAACTGAAATTTTATTCCTGGATCAGTTCAGAGGTTATTTTATAAATAAGCTTTGAGTCAATTAAGATTTGATGTACCATTCATACGTAGCTAAATACAGATTAATTGACACAACCCTTTATTTATTCAGCAAGAATGAGCAGCCAATATTGGGCCTGATAAATACCACCACCTACATTCCATAATTTCTCCATAACTTCAAACTGTAAATTTTGGCTGAACCGTTTTGTGGGTTCTTTAAGATGAGTGTTTCATTTTGTAAGCCCCCCACCCCCAAAAGAAAAAAGACCACCTTGCAAATCTCTCTCTCATACAGACACACAGACACATACACAAAAAGACAAACACAGACAGGTGGGGGGGAGGTGTTTTCCTCCTGCATTCTCTTTCTTTCTTATCATGATGTATTTGGATTCTCAGAGTTGGAAGATGTTAGAAGACTTAGAAACATTTTGCCTTTTTCTTTTTTTCATCTTTCCTCTCCACATCCCTGATAATTTTATTGACTGTCTGTTCCAAACTTTCTCTATCCCTATCTCTTTTATCATTTTAACCATTATTTTTTGACATGTGTACATAGCACTATTTCATATTGCCTCCCCACACAATTTCCCAGGCTTATATACATGGGAGAGAATGTGGTATTCTTGGATACACTGATCTTCTGGTCAAAATTTCTCCCTTACAAGAAATTTCTTATGATTACATTATTCACCTTGAAATTAGGCCTGATACCTCTGTAGGCTCTTCCTCATTCAGTCCACATGACAAACCTAAAGTTCCCCTGAAAGCATTCATCTCAATGAGCAGCTAATATAAGCTTTTCTGTAAGTTTCATGAGATGTTAAAACAACCTTCCTTTCATACCATTGCAGGCTGTTTATAGAATAATTGATGCCTTGGGGAAGAGAAGGATTGCAATTAAAAGCACTACATTGATAAGTGCTAATCTTCCCTTCTCCCATATAAAATCACTTTACACTCAGAGAGAGGCCCAAACACACACATACAACCAGTGGTGGGTTGCTCCCGGTTCGGGCTGGTTCGGATGAGCCAGTAGTGGTGGTGATGTGACATCACCGAACCGGTTCTCTTTGACTGGGAGCTGGGCCCGCCCACCCCCGTGTTATACTTACCTTTATTTCTCGTTTTTTAGCCCAGCTGATAGGCGCGGCAGAGTGGATTGCTGCACCTCAGCTGGGCAGAAACCTAATGCGCTTGCGCGTGTGGCGATCGTGCACAAAGCGCATGCACGAAGAGAAACGGTGGTAACACCGGTTGGAACCCACCACTGCATACAACCCCTTGCATTTGTCCTTTAAGTTACAAAGACAATTGTTCGAACAATTGGCTGCTATATGGTGATTTCCTTTTCCCTGCAAGATCATTTTACGGAAGAGAAGGATTTTGATTTAGAGGCATAGTTCCTATGAGAGTAATTTTCCCCCAGTTTTGAGTCCCAAGTTGTAGGAAATAAGCAGTTTCTATAATAATTTCATATGCAGAAGAGGCAGCTACATAAATATAAGTCTTTGGTTGAAAAATGGGCTATGCTTGTATATAAAATAGCTGTTTTAAATTTGCATGCATGATCTGCTTGTTTTCACAAACCTCAAAGGTTCTGCTCCCTTGACCTCTCGATTTGTTAATTACTTTGTTTTGTTCAGTGAAAATAACTTTAATGTCCATCTCCTCCCCCCAATTTGGCAATAAAATAATCCAGTGCTATACAGATTAGATCCAAGGAAGTGATCATTTATAACTTTTCTCATTGTTAGTTGCTCTTTATGGAGTTTGTTTTTCTTCTACAATATCTCAATTTCAACCAGAGAAAAAGCCTCTCAAGCTGAGGTTTTTTTAAAGCATTTTTACATGTGAAGCTTTAATGTTCCTTTCATAAAATTTGTGTGATGTTATTAATATGTGGTTGAAAATGGAGAAAAAAATGCACTGATCATGACTTAGACTTAGAATAACTTTATTGTCACTTTGAATGTACACTAATCGGCATACATTAAAATGAAATTTCATTGCATACAGCTCTCAAAGGGTCACCACCTCCAATATACACTAGATAAACATGATGAAATAAATAAATACAAATTTATGCATATACCCACATATATTATATGACACGGAGAAACAACACAGTCTAGTTCAGATGTATACATATACATGGCGAGAGAAACGAAAAAGAGAGAAAACGAGTTAACCAGACGGATGGCATAGGGAATAAAGCTATTACAGAACCTGGTAGTCCTGTTAGAAATACTTCAAAGCCTCCTCCCAGAGGGGAGCAACAGAAACAGACCATAAAGTGGGTGTACGGGGTCTCTAACAATGCTTTGAGCTCTAAGCACATAGTGCTTATAAGCAGTATCCTGAATTACAGGAAGCAAGCTTCCTATAATCTTTTGCACTGTCCTTACCACTCCCTGAATGGGCTTTCTCTCTGAGGACTGTAGCCACCAAACCAAACAGTGATGGAGTTTGTTAAAATACTCTCAATTGTGTCTCTGTAAAAAGTGGCCAGGACAGAAGGAGAAAGATGTGCTTTCCTCATCTGACGCAGGAAATGCAGATGCTGGTTTGCACACTTCACTAAGGGTGACATGTCTAGAGACCTTCACATAAAATCCAGTTCTTTCACATGAAATATATAAATAGGAAATAGGAAAATTTAGATATGAAAATAAATAACATAAAAATATATTTTATTTCAAGTCATGATATTCTCAACAAAAAGACCATCAGCAAGATGGATAAGATTCACTTGGAATGGCAATAAATGCACCATTGGACAACCTGAAAGACCAGGTTAGGAACAGATCATCATGGAGAAAAATGTACGTGGTCACTAGGAGTCGGCAACAATTTGATAGGATAGAGATAATTTCACGCTCATATATTTGCACAACAACTGCAATATTTTTTACAATATTACACTTTCCTACTTTTGCATGATCTTTAACAAAGAGAAGGAAGTTATGAGTGAGCTTGTTATCAAGCAAATCTTAATAATGGAGTATTTCTCATAAAATGATTTGTAATTAACACTGAAATTCTGATAAGGATAGGTTATTCAGAACTACTAATTTTTACATTCCTGAATCCAAAAGCAAGCCAAAATGGCACAAACACAACAAATTGAAGATACAGCTTTTCAACAGGAACTCAGTTTACAGACAAACATTTACACAATCACGTCAAAGAACTTTCCAAGTATGCAGTATCTCCAACTTCCTATTCCCCAATTAAGGAAGAAGTTACAATACTACTGGTAGATTGGAATGATCATTCATCTATCCTATAAAGTATACATTTGTCATTGGGAATGAGAAACTTCAAAAAAAACAATACCTGTATTTTATTGCACTGTATCTTCTGTAGAGACTATAGCACACCTTTCCTGTTGTATCATCCAGACCAATTCTAAGTTTATCTACTGTTTTCAGTCAAAAATGACTTAATGATGAAGATGATGAGGATGATGACCATGGGCCATGAAGTCATTGTCAGTTCTTAGCACCCACATAGATAAATATTCTCTCCATGATGCTCTGTCCATAGCCTGGTCATTCCTATTGCCACTGAACTGAATCCATTCATCTTGCTATTAATCCTCCTCCTCTTTTCCTTTCCATCTTTTTCATCATTAGAGCCTTCCCCAGAGAAGGTCTTTGTGTTACATGTCTGAAGTAGGATAATTTGAGCCTGGTCATTTGAGCCTCGAATAAGGACTCTGGGTCAGTGGTGAAATCCTCTGCGGTTTGCCACCAGTTTGCTGCATGTGCAGTGCGCGCCAAACACGGTGTGCACATGCGCACTGCATGCTAAATGCACACTGTGTACATGCATGCACAATGCGCACCAAACATATGCTGTGCACCCACATGCACAGTGTACACCACGGAGAAAGAAGGCTTGACAAGGTAAGTAGAACAGCAAGGGGGGAACAGCTGTGCCGCGCAATTTAGATTCGCTAGAAAATAGGATTTCCTGCTTTCTAGGGAATATAAACCACATGGCACAGCTGATCGTATAAATAAATAAATGAATCAATCAATCAATCAATCAATCAATCAATCAATCATCGGAAATACCGGTTCGAACAAACTGGTAGCTTTTTTTAACTACCAGTTCTCCCGAACTGCTTTTTATTTTTAATACCAATTCACCTGAACCGGTAGCATTTCACCCCTGCTCTGGGTTGATTTGTTAGATGTTCCATTGATTTATTTTCTTGGCTGTCTATGGCATTCTCAGGAATCTTCTCCAACATCTAAGTTCAGAAGAATTAATATTCTTCCTATTTTGCTTCTTGTAAATTATGCAGTAGCATGTAAAGCAGGACATTAAATATGAGCTAGGCCATCTTTGTGGATTGGCCTTTTGAATATTATCTAAGCATCATTTAATTCTTATCCTATCTGATTTTGAGTGGCTTTATATCACAGAATTCTCCATTTGGGGTTTTGTTCAGCTGGAGTTTGTGGGTGTATCATTTAGTAAATAATTCACTATTTTTACTTATAAAAACTTAGCACTGTTAAATATTTTGTCTGCCCTTCTGTTGTAATTTATTTATTTTTTTTATATCAAACTTACATTGATACTGAATTTCTGATTAATATTAGCCCTATAATCAAACCCACTTTATTATTAATGGTTTTACATTCTTATATTTTATGGAGCATATTTTATCATTTAGATAGCTTAGTAGTAGCGCAAGAATTTTATTCATCTCTCTGAACTTTTATGTCATTTTATGCAGATCTTCAATCAAAATAAAGTTGTCTTCCTTTGTGGGATAAGTACTCTTTGAAAAGCATATGTCAGATCTATGTGAGGTTTCTTTATAGAGGCATGGATTTATGGAGATTAAATGTATCAATAGCTGCCCTGTGCAATGTGTTTTTGACAGGGATTTCTCAGGATTTTATTTTGACTTTGTGTCTACTTAGGTCTCGTTCAATCAGTGGAGCTTCATCTGGCCTATCTACCAGCCCTCTCAGTAGTCCAAGGGTAAGTGAAATTGTTTGGAGGTCATAATTTTAATAATCTTCGTTTGAGCTAGGGAAAGTGTAATAACGTTTTCCCGTAGTTTCAGGGGTGGATTTGTCAGCCAGGAAACTTAAAGAGAGAAAAAAAGACACAGTATTTGTATATATAGTATGTTGTATATATTATGAACAGAGCCATAAAATAAAATAAAGAGAGCCAAAAATATAATTATTTTTTACAGATACACTCATGTGTGAAAGCAGTTTTGTTCATGCATTGTTTAGCATTACATTGTTTAATTTGTGCCTGCCTCACTCACTACTTATATTGTTGCTACCTAAAGTAGCTTTATTTCCTAGCATGGTGGCAGTTATAAAATACTGTTGGAGAGATTATGGCATGATGAGAAGAACATCTGCTACTCATTGCAAATTCAGCATGAGGCATTGAACCATAAAAATTAGAGCTACTTTGGGACTGAAAAGCACAGCTGAACAGCCTTTCAAAAACAATGAAATCTAGTCAGCACAGGAATCATACGAAGTTGGATTAGGAAATTGTTAGTGTGAAAATGAAAGTAACTGAAACATTCAAGAAGAACGATATAGGAAGAAGAAGACATTGTATAATTGGAGAGTGTAGAATGTCCCTGGGGAGAAATGGGGATTCTCTCTTGCAAAGCTACCTTGCTCTTTTTCGTCATTTAGCAAGGTAAGGACTTCCTTCTTAATCAGTAGCAGTTGTCTTTTCAAGTATTACAAAACCATTAGAGAAAAGCAGTTATGGACTCGAGGTTAATGGCAAATTGGATGGTCATATGTAGTTCATTCTTGTTTGATGAGGTTATAAGCTAGCCACTTTTTTAAAAAATAGGTTTTTATTTTGTGTTAAATATTTTTTATTGTTTTATAGCCCTTATTCCATTTCTATGTTGAACAGTGTGTTTTCTAGATGTCCAAAGTGTTAACATATAAACATCATCATAATCATTATAATCATATATACATAAACATATGTGCAATAATATCAATCGTTATTGAAAAGTATACTATCTTCCATTATAGTATCGATTATATAACCATCAAAATATTTACTCATCAGTTTTCTTTCTCATGTGGTCCATATTTCACATAAACCCACTCATCTAACCTCAGTATCTGTCAATTAACCATTTTCAGAATAGTTCCCATGTTACAAAATATTCCAAGTCTTCTTTTCCTTTGATTTTTAGGGTTAACCTATCCATTTCTGCACATTCCAGAATTTTTTTGATTATAATGATACAGTTTGTTTGTTTTAAAACAATATGTACGGTCCCCAGATCAATGAAACAGATTCATCATTTTGAAGAACTTAATGAGTAAGATAGAAAAAGAGAGAAGTTCCTAGAGCATGAAGCTCTAATGCACTTGATATCAAACAATATTTGAGAGCTTCTCTTGTATTACAGTGCTTTATTGGTTTTGCCGTCTTTCTGATTTACAGTTAATCCCTGAAATTTTGGTTCTGAGACCTCCTATTGCACATTCAATTTGAAAGAACAAACCCATTTAATTTAATATAGGAATGCACGGTTTTAGTTTTGGACCAGATTTTCAGATTCTGGGTAAGACCTGACCTTATAGTGCCCCTTTTGCTTTATGCCAATTCATAATAATGACTGAAGCATAATAAATTAAATGTAGTTGTTCCAAAGATCTAAGTGTAGAGTAGAGGAGCTCAGCAGCACAAGCTACTCAACAGATTATTATTTGAAATGGAAAATGTGTTATAGATATATAAATTATAAGGTTGCTTTTAAAAAAGCCCGGACACATACAGTAGAACTTTGAAGGCAACAGCAAATTATTCATTAATTTAAATGGAATTAAGTTGTCGCAGAAGCTGGTAGAAACCTGATTTTTTCAGAAGGAATTTGGAAATTAGTAATGGTGCCATCAGGACCTCTGTTCGTCTATTTATTAATATATTATGAAACTATATCTTATTGTTGTTATCACTATGGCTTTATGATAGAGGTATTTTTAATGTTTGTAAATACAGATTAGTTCTGAAGCTCATTGCATACTTGTAGGAAATAATAAAGGAAAAAATAGTTCTATCCAAAATGTCCTCCATTTTGTTTTCAGTTCTCTTTGAAGATATATAAAAGTATTTTCCTATCAGGGTTTGCATTTTCTCTTTCTAAGGAACAAATATGGCAGATTTTGAGGGATTTATAAGTGTTTTAAAACAATCTAGAGAGAAAAGAAATCAATTCAAAATAAGAAAACAAAAAAATTAAAAATTAAAACCAACAACTAAAGTGAACTGAAATCAATAATTAAAAATCTGCTATTTATCTGCCATTTATTGTTAAACCTGATAAAGAGATTAAGCCCTTCAGTTTAGAAGGTAGTATATTCCAAAGGACCAGAGTGACTGTGAGGAAGATTGACGTTGCTGCAAATATGTCTGCAGCAACTATAGGAAGGAATGGGACAACCCGCCACAGCCAACTCACTGTGGCCAACTTGCCACAGCCAATTCCTTACGGCCAATCAATCACAGCCAACTCGCCACGAGATAACTCACCCTGCCCATGGGACAACTCACCATGGGACAATTTAACAATTCAGTTTAATTATTTAAAATAAATGAAAAGATATTTTAATTTTTGTCATTCACATTTCATTCTGTCCCTCCTTTGGCATCTGTTCTTTAATGATTCTATTGCACCATTTCTTTGATATTAGTATAAATCTTGTCCCACAGTGAATTGGCTCTGACAGGTTGTCCCCCTGGTGAGTTGGCCGCAGCGATTTGGCTGTGACAAGTTGGACATGGATAACTGTCATAAACCCAATCCTCAAATGATCTCACTGAACTGAGGGATGGAAAGAGACATTCTCTCAGGCATCATCGTCCCAGGAAATAGAAACCAACCTGGCCATCGAATTCTATATCAAGTGAAGTTTCCAGATGACATACAAAAGGCTGTATGTCTTTATTGAAGCCTGGAACATACATCAGAATTTAAGACATGCTTTAAGGAAGGAATGCTAACCCTTACAACATGCCTTAAAATTCTGATGTATACTGCAGGCTGTGAAAACAGAGACAGCCAAATCCAGAGAAGCCCTTGTGAACTCTGCATCTGCTTCTTCTGAGAAAATGTGTCCTTATGTAGAACTGTGACTCCTCTCAGTGAATACTTCAGTCCTATTTCAGTTTCAATTCATCATCCCCATCATTAAAAATTGTAGGCGGATATTCAAGGGAGTCACATTGTTGCATGGAGATGCAACAGAGAAAGAGATGTTCATGTTATCAATATACAAATAGCAAACAGCTCCAAATCTGCCTATGATCTCCCTCAACAATTTCATGCAGATATTGAAAGAGATAGAATAGAGTCCTGAGGAACTCAATGTAATGACTTCTGTTTGTAGGAGCAATTGAAAGGGAGTGCCATTTGAGGGAATCAAGCTATTCTCCAAAGCACCTGAGGGTAGGACAAGAAGCAAGAAGAGGGAAGGAAACTAATCAAAGAGAGAAGCAACCTAGAACTAAGGAGAAATTTCCCGACAGTGGAAATCAGTGGAAAAAACTTGCCTCCAGAAGTTGTGAATGCTTCAACACTGGAAGTTTTTAAGAAGATATTGGATAACCATTTGTCAGAAGTGGTGTAGGGTTTCCCGCCTAAGCAGGGGGTTGACCTAGAAGACCTCTAAGGTCCCTTCCAACTCTGTTATTCTGTTCTGGAATATGAGGAATATGAATGGAATAAAGCAAAGTGGCACCTTCTATTCCCAGATCCTTTAGATTATCTAATAGTATATCATAATTAAGCTGAGTGATGAAGAAAAACCAATAGAATTACATCCCTTCTGCCAAATTCCAGACAAATCAACTGAATCCATTTGTCTCCATTTGCCCTATTATGCACAAAAATAAAGTTAGACTATAATTTTATGCAGTTGCAATGTCTTAAATAGTTTTAACTATTTGACCACCAAAATTACAAACAATATGTTTGTATGTGTGTGTAATATTCAGGTATTGTTATAGTTTTCACTTTAATTTTTTTAGAATTTTCAGTTACAATTTTCACTTATAAAATGAAGATCAAAAACAGGGTTTTTACTTTGATGTTTCAAACTCCTTTTAATGATCCTATTGGTTATAACAGTACCTTTTTACAAATATGTCAATTTGTATTTTGAAGCATATTTTATAATTAATTCATAACTTCTAATGTTCTCTCAGTTTCACTTTGTTTTTTAATAGCACAGTTTCCTTCTTTGTTTCATTTATAGTGTCTGGTGGATACTATCACTTTATTTTTGTTTATAACCAGATCCAAATATTAGAATGCTTGATTATCCAATGAAAGTAGGAATATTTGAGCAAATCTGATTTGTTGATCATTGCGGGGATTCATAATCAAACACCATGTTTCTCTAAAAAATTCCTATTCAAAAGCCTGACATAGAAAACTAAATTCTTTTCTCTGGGTAGAAGGTCAAGGAGGAAGGGAAAGGATCTGCAAGAATGATTCTCTTTCTTTTGCGTGTACACACACAGACACACACACACACACACACAAAGTGGTGTCCCTTTGAAAGAAATGGGGAGAAATCATAAATGTAGTAATTTGTGGGCCTTTATTACTACCTGTTGTACACATATTTTTTATCTGCATTTCCCTGCTGTGTTTGGTTGTAGTAGACATTTTGATCTGGGAGAGGGCAAACTCAGCCTATATACCTACAAGCTGGTTGTTGCTGTGATTTGAATGGTCCTCCTTCCCCGTCCTCACCTCCCTTCAGCCTTGTCCTTCTCTCCCTGTGAGATACAGACCAGCTCAAGGATTTGGTAGTTTTTGAGAGTGGAGGTTCATTCTCAGAGCTTGTGGGTTGGTTTCCGAATGTTTTGTTACCAGGCTAGGTAACATCTTCAGTGGAGTTTAGGGGATGTCAGTGTCAGTGTTCCCTTATAAACAGAAAAACACTGACACTGACATCCCCTAAACTCTGCTGAAGATGTTACCTAGCCTGGTAATGAAAAGTTTTGAAACCAACCCACAAGCTCAGAGAGCGAATCTTCATCCTCATCCTTCACCTGAGCTACAGATATGCGCCATTATGGTAGTTTTTCTCTGCACAGCTTCCCTGGTTCTCCCTACCCTGTTATTTTTAGTTTGTTTTCCTCCATATTTGTTTTTGCTGTGTGATTTTTCTTTGCTGACACATGGTTGGTTAATATGATAAAGCTTGTGACAAAATTGTTTTCACTACCGCTACTGCTGTTTTTGATTATGCTGTGTTCCCAGCTAACTGCATGTTTTTTTTGTTTGTGTTTGTGTTTTGTTTCTTTGCAAACCCTTAACCCCACCTCCTTTACCCTCATCGCCATAACTCATATCTCTTTGTAATGCGCACAATTGCAACTGAAATGGGCTTTTTTTCTTCATTCACCCATGGGATGTATGTGTGCGTACGTATGTGTTGCTTTTCTTGATGTGCATGGATACTCACTCTGTATGTGTCTTGTAGCCTCTCAGAAAATTTTTCATCCCCCCTCAGATTCCTGATCTCGCTGTCACTCCCCGCCCCCAACCCTCCCTGGACTCTGATGCTTGTAGGAACACTTCCAGACCTGGACATGTTCTGCAACCAAAGCCAGCACTTCAACCCAACCCAAGGACACAAACTTTGCCTTCCAAGAACAAATTGGCTGAAAAACCACTTCAGTCTACCAAATCTAACCCACTCCCTTCTAATAATATTATTGTCCCTCCATCCCAGAATATCCCTGCACAAAATACTCAGGGTCGTCCACCTGTTTCTGGGTGTAACCCACAACTGGCTGTTTCTACGGTGCCGACCAACCCTATGTCTCCGGTTAGGTTGCTCCCTTCCAGTACTGACCCAAGCACCAAATCTATCCCCATCATACAGGTTACCCCTCACCCCTCTCCAAGGGGCAGTCCCCTCCCTACCCCCAAGGGGACACCTGTCCATACGCCAAAGGAGAGCCCAGCAGGCACACCCAACCCTACGCCGCCATCCAGTCCCAGCATTGGAGGAATGCCCTGGAGAACACGGCTCAACTCAATCAAGAACAGCTTTCTGGGATCACCTCGCTTTCATCGCAGGAAATTGCAAGGTACAAATCTTCCAAAACCATTTAAAACAAAACAAAATTGTCTCAAAACAATTTAAGACTGACAAGTAAAAGTATAAAAGAATGTAAAGAAGGGTTGATTGATAGATGACAATAATATGAAGCATTGACAGGAAAAATGAAAGTTCCCTTTTTACTACTTGGGTATGCCACGTATGTTGTTATTCAAATAATGACCTTCCTGTAGTTTTACAAGTATGTCCCAATAACCATAAGTACTCAATTTCTGATTTTTTTTTCTGACCCTGAGAATGAAAAATCAACTTTTTTAAAAAAAAAGGTTTAAAAAAAAAGACAAAAGTGTAACCTGGGTTTGATACTTGTAAATTATAGTTCTGTTGTGATGCTTGAAAGAAAATAGATCCAATTGAGAAGCTGGAACTAACAATAGAATGATGATAATCATGGGCTGTTGGGCTTCTTTTTCCAAAATATGCAAGTTGCAATTCACCTGCATTATCATCTTAAGGGAGCAAAGATATCTAAATGAATTATATGGAAATTGTACTTTAAGCTTTTTGTCCCTATATGTGTATATAAAAGATTATGTGCCAAATTATTTTAATATTAGAAATGTGGTAGGGATGGCAATACTATCTGGTATCACCATCCTGTAGATTCTGCTTGCATCTTTGATATTGGTACTTGCTTCAGGACTAATTTGTAAATTTCCCCATAGTTTTTCTCTTGAACTAACACAAGAGCCTGTTATTGCTTTCAGACCCAGGTTTTAATTGAGAAATAGTATGTTAATTAGTGTAAGAACATTTGTCTTGAACACGTTTCTATTTTTTTAAAAAAAAAACAGTGCTTACTTGATAAATGGCTTTTTGCAAAATAGGAAAACTCTTTAGCAAAATGGGATTCATTTAGTTATGAAGACTGATTTTTCCCAATCACAGACTCAAGACTTCAAAAATCAACAGCTGAGTTGTATTCCCAGACACAAGCAGATTGAAAGCAGTCAATGAATGTTGTTGAAAACGATAAAAAAATTAATTTACATTATATGATAATACTGCAGTTCATGAAGGATTCAAAATGCCCATTAGAGAAAGAGAATTGACATTATGGAAAAAACATTCTGGGCAAACTCAGAAGCTTGTATTTCTTTTACATTTAGTTTTCTTTCATTTAAGAATCTTGTAGAGACTGGTGTTATGTAACAACAACCAAAAATAATCAATTGCACTGTAAAATCCCCCCCCCCAAAAAAACAGATTTAAATGGTTGTGTTTGTGAACAGTGAACACTGTTGAATATGGTGAAACACTGCTTTTTAAAACAAGTTTACTAATGCTTGGAGGTCTCCTTAATTATTATTAAGGCAATGAAATTCAGGAGAGACGTATAATTGAACAAGCATAGCCCTTATATGGCCCAGAAGGATCATAATTAAGTCAAGAATTATTACCCTACATAAAGGTCCTAAACGAAGCAGAATAAACTTCCAACCTGACTAATATCTTTTTACACATAATTGAATTCACATAGCATTCATTACACGTTGACTCAGTACGGCATGTCCTTTTTGGAAAAAAAGGTAAATGATCCATAATTGTTTGTGTGATTCATGATTTAGTTGGTGCATGTTAATCATGATACCATTTTGATCTGAAAAATCACTGGCAATTTCAAATAATTTTGCTAAACACCTACAGTATTCTCAGTAAAATCATTGTTATTTAATGATGCTAATAATTTCCTGTGGACCATACAAGGTAATGGAAAGTCCATTTTTCAGTTTTCTTTCACGTCACATGAGCTGGGATGCACTAATCTTTAGGTTAGGTACTAGACAAATGTGCCAGGGCCTCAGGGTTACTTTAATTTATGAAAGGACACAACTGTTGCTTTTCTAGGTTCATATGTAAATAGGAAAAGCATGTCCTATCAATGAGAATTCCCACATTTCCAAATCTAATACTGGTTTAAATAAGTGCATATAGGGAATTGACTCACTTCTATTTTTGCCTGTTCTGCACTGAAATATTGTCTATTTTGAGATTACTTCTGTTTAAAGGGAAAGCAGGAATAATATACAATTTCTAACAAGTACAGGTAGTCCTTGACTTATAACAGTTCATTTAGTGACCATTTAAAGTTACAATGGCACTGAAAAAAGTGAGTTATGACTATTTTTCACACTTACGACCATTGCAGCATCTCCAGGGTCATGTGATTTATATTGGGATGCTTGACAACTGGTTCATATTTATGACAATTGCAGTGTCCCGGGGTCATGTGATGACCTTTTGCAACCTTCTGAGAAGTCAAAGTCAATGGGGAAACCAGGTTCGCTTAACAATCGTGTTACTAATTCAACAACTGCAGTGATTCAGTTAACAAATGTGAAAAGGAAAATTGTAAAATGGGGCAAAACTCACTTAATAAATTTCTCACTTAGCAACATAAATTTTGGGGTCGATTGTGGTCGTAAATCGAGGACTAGCTGTAATCAGGCTGCTCTTGCCATATTTACCATGCACTAAATTTTAGTTGTCTGCATTTTAGAGTCTATTGTACATAATACAATCAACATAAGTATGTTGAGTTACTTGAGGGAATCAGTACCAATATATAATTTATAAGGACTAAGTTAATTATTCAGGTTAGTTACATTTAAATTCATTGGGATGAATTTAAAGCATAGATTATTAGAAATTCAGACAATCACAAATGCTTGAGTAATATTCATGGTGTAAAGGAGACTTTATTTCCTTCTTTTCTTTTCTATTTTTCTATTTCTCTGTGTCTGGATATATATAGTACCTACGCCAGAAGAGATGTCCAATTTAACTCCAGAATCTTCCCCAGAGTAAGTAATTTATTTTAGTATTATAGATATCACTGCTAGTTTGATTTCAATGCATTCGACACAAAAATTGCAGCAATAAAGGTATTGTACATCCCACATTTCCAACAGATTAAATTACCTATCTTAATGCAAACTACAATAAGATATGCAAATAGATAACATAAACTTTAGAAATTCTGATGTTCCAAAGAATATTTTTAGTAAACTGCAGTAGTTCGAAGAAAGAGGTAAGATCGCTTGTCTATCTGATTAAGTTAGAAAATTATTTGTGACCCCAAAATGAACTATTAGTGAGGTTTGTTTTATAATAACAATGAAAACATATTCATTATGCTATTCAATTTGCAATCTTCTGAATCATATCTAAATCTATTATACTGTGATTAAAAAACAATTCATAAAAATGACAATGGTTGATCATTATATCTGGCATTTCTCATAACCTCAAACATTTTAAGCAAAGCTTTAACTGCACCCATTATTCATTTGCAGAATTAATTGATATCGCCTCCAATTTCACTCCTGCTGGCATCACAACTCTTCCCTTAGGTGTTACAGGGCCTGTAGTAACACTAATCCCCTCATTCTCATTCCATGTAAAAGGGAAATAAAATCAATTGTTTTCAACCCTCTCTACATCCATGCCTTTTCTTCAAGTTGCATGCCTCTGTACAATCATATGCTTAAAAAACCCCTTCAAACCAATAAGTTTCAGGGGTTTGTATGAGGTAGATATGAAAAGGCTTTGAACTATCTTTCCCTCGAAAAACCTGAAGATCAAAAACTGGGAGATGCTGCAAAAAGGAATTATTGCAAATGGTTATCAACAAGCTCTTCAGAACCAAAGCACTTTAAATAAATGCATCAGTGTTATTTCAAATATACCAGATCAGTTCACAAATTCACTAGTTTAGCTAGCGATAATACAGGAACACAAAGATCCCGATTGGATTTGGAACTGATGCAGATCCCTCATACTCTTTTAGTTTCTTGATTTTTTGCTAAGAAAATGCCAGTTGAGTTAGGACATAGCAGAATATGTACCTTGATAGTACCTAGTGCAATAATGGAGTACGTAAGTTACTATTTAAATAAAAGTATGTGATTACAAATATTAACGCTAGCACATCGAGAATATGAGAAGTTATTCCCGATGTGCATTTAATTAAGACGTCTTTCAAAACTAGCTTGTATTTAAATACCCCTTTGAAATGTTTACCTGAAAATAATTATCCGGGCGGGATGGGGATTCCTACAGAATCCATAGCAGATGGATTGTTGGCAATTCTTGTATTGACATATAAAATGTCATCTTTAACCTGTCAATGAATAGCAGTAGAATAGAAAAGTAGTAAAATAATAAAAACGGTAGAAAATAAACCATTTTTCCCAGTGTAAGAGGTCTCTTGATGTTTTTTTAAAAAACATGGTCTTCTCTCTTCTTTCACTTCCTTTGTCTCAGGGATTTTTTTATCAGTATGAAACATGTATCTCTGTAATTCCTTTTCTTGCACGTCTCATTTTAAGGATGCTGGATAGAAGTCAAGGAGTCTTAGTAGGCAGTTTGAATGCAACTCAAACCCTAAGGCTCTTTTCCCCTCTCCAATATAATTGCTGAATTAATGAGTTCAATTGGATAGCACCCTGCAGTAAACATAATAGCAGTTGTAAAAAATAATGAACTGTATTTTTATTTCAGCCATCGAGGCCTTTATGTCCATGGCCACTTTGGAGTTTAGTATTATTTTTGCTTTACCAACAGGATATTTCAATGAGTTATTGGACCCATGATTGAAATTTTAACATGAATGTACTCCCGTTGTCTATGGCCGCATCTTTTAATGTATCTATTTTGTTTAATGGTTCAGATGATTGGATATTGTGTCTTAATATGTCTAGATAATGGGCCAATTATTTGTGGACAAGCCTAGACAAATTAATAGAATTTAAGTGAACGTATTTTATATATGTTTTAGTGTGAAGGCTCCATCTCTTTTTGCATTAGTGTATCCATTTTAACAATGACTTACAAAAATTATCCAACCTGAGTTGATATTATCCATAATAAGTAATACACCGATATCTCCATCCTAAATATTTTTGAATCTCTTTCCAATATCAATATTCAGTTTTATCAAGCTATGCCATTTAAATTTGCACGGAGGGACACAGCAACCCTGTTCCCAGGGTTTCACTTCACTTTTTCACAGGGGTGAAATCTATTTACCTTCCCTACCGGTTCAGAAGTGCACATGTGCATGCGTTCCCTCTGCGCATGCGCAAACCCTTCTGCGCAAGCGCAGAGGGTAAAAAACAGGTTACTTCCTGGTTAAAACAAGGAAGTAACAACAACTGGGTGGGTGGGTGGAGCCTCACGCTGCCGTTGCTACCGGTTCTCTGAACCACCCGCCGCTGTCGCTTCCGATTTGGCCAAACCGGTCCAAATCGGTAGCATTTCACCCCTGCTTTTTCATAATCCTCAAGCCCTCCCTATGTCTATGCATTGGAAACGTGTGTAGAGGAAATTTCACTCTTGATTTCCCTTTCTCTAAATTTTTATTTATCTATTTTATATATCAAATTTAGAGACCACCCATCTCATTCACAGAGCAACTCTGGGTGGCTTACCATTAAATCACAGCTTTACATTCATCTAATGTGCTGATTTCTAAAGACACATATCACAACTGCTGAAAGAGCAGTTTCTGCTATGAATAATTTTAATTGTATGATAGTTTGTTTACAATTTTATTAATATGTTCAAAGATGAGGTAGGCAATTGAGGGTATAGGTTCACATCCAACTTCCAAACCTCAGAGGTTATCTTTCGAAATAGTTTGAATCCCCGAAATAAATGGCTATCGTAAATTAAGCCCTAAATAATGATTCCCTCAGTCTATTCTCCAGAAACAGAATATTTTGGTTATGTGCACTTTGTGTTATCATTGTGTCCAATGTAGTCTCATCCTTCCAAAATTGTTTTCAGCCTCTGGTTACAAAAGGATTGTCCATCTGCATAGAAAGATCATCAAAGAACTGGTGTGCATAAATTTCTGACTTGCATAAATAAAATAGGCTTCCAAACAAACATGTTTCTGGATTGGATGTTGCTTCTGCAGATAGCCATATCTACATGTCTATGCAGATTCTCAATCATCCAGGTCATGGCCATCAAAGGCAACTGGACTTTTGTGGTATTTTCCTTGAAAACATTTCACTTCTCATCCAAGAAGCTTCTTCAGTTCTGCAGGGAAGCAAAATCAATGGGGGAAGCCAAATTCATTTAATGACTGGGAGATTCATTTAACAACTGCAGTGATTTGCTTAATAACTGTGGTTATTAAAGTCATAAAAGCAGGCATAACTAACTTAAGAACCACCTTGTTTAGCAATGGAAACTCTGGTCCCAAATATTTATTAGTTAGACTTCTATATCACTTCAAAGTGCTCTACAGCCCTCTCTAAGCGGTTTACAAAGTTAGCATATAGCATATTGCATATTAACATATTGCATTAGCATATTGCCCCCAACAATCTGGGTCCTCATTTTACCTACCTCGGAAGGATGGAAGGCTGAGTCAACCTTGAGCCGGTGAGATTTGATCTGCTGATCTGCTGAACTAGCAGTCAGCTGAAGTAGCTGCAGTACTGCACTCTAACCACTGCGCCACCTCAGCTCATAATATGGTTGTAAGTTGAGTACTATCTTTACTTAATTCCTATAAACATAAGTACAGTTTGAACCACCATAAGAAATAATTAATTGAGAACATTGTTGGAATACATATACTTTATCTAGGTGTTTTATTAACTACAATGTCCCAATAATTAACTAAAATAAAAGAGAGCAATTTTCACCAATGGTGCCAGAAATGGGAACTATGCTGGTTTACAGCAAAGTTTCAGTTCAGCAAATGTCTAATCATTGGCTTGTTGACATATGGTGTGCAGGTAGCCACTGGGATTACAGTTTACAGAAATACTCCTAAAACCTAATAGAAATTTAGTTGATTAAGTCCTTCAAAATGTGTTTAATCAATAATTGACAAAAAGGGAATTTTTCATAGAAAACTTTAACATCAAATTTAATATGCTATATACTCGTTGGCGTATCTCCTTGCTTCTACCTTAACCAAATTTTTGTTGCCTGAGGACAGAGTAGACCGAGGTTAATTCTTTGTGTTAATTCTATATTTTCAGATATCTCTTGTTTAGAAATTTGAGTTTTTCTGAATCTTACTATTGCCTTTTGCTTTTTTTCTTCCTCTTTCTCTTTCGTCATTGGATTCAATTATCCTCTATAAAATGAAAAATAACAGAGCTACATGGAGAGAGGAGCATTTTGACTTAAAATGGTATTTTGTGTGTGAATTTATATTTACATTTACATTTCTCCCCTTTTTATGGGGAATTCCTTGCTTCAGGGTGGGGTCAGGGTGACTAAGTGGAACTGAACACTTACTAGCCGGATGCCCCTCTTGACACCTATGTGGTGATCACAGCAGATATTTTCTTCTTTGAACCCTGATAGAGAAACATTTGTCACTGCCTAGAATTGAACTCTCAACCTTCCGAGTGGGAGGCGAGAGTCTTCACCTCTACACGAATGGCACAAACGCATATTTATGCAAAATAAAATTCAGTCAGATGCTTAAAAGTAAGCTATCTACCATCTCAGTTCTGGACATGACCACAAAATCTTTACCAATCTTCAAAATCACAGTTATGTAATTATACTAAAGATGAGTGAAAATTATCAGCTCAGAAAATCATCATAATAAGCATCCAACTATAGAAGTGAAAAATAGTATCAGTCTGATTCCACTATCAGGACCTTAGGGATTTTTCTGTTTTCATACATTTAATTGTATGAATAGTAAAGATGGAGCTAAATAATTTGACCATGGTGAATCCTCAGGAGAAACATGTTATTTTTTTCATTCTTAATTCAGTATTATAAAGCTAAGTATAAAAATAAGAATTTATTGAATCATATGTTC